GGGGGGGGAGCTGTCGCGTGATGGGGAGCGAGAGAGAGAGAGAGAGAGAAGCAAAAATCAGATTTTTAAAACCCCATTTCAAAATATTTATGGTTATGCCATTAGGCTTCCGTAGCTCATAAATTCTTCGTTACAACTCCGATTTGAGCCCACTACGTGCCTACGAACTCAGATCGACGCGATCTACGTCATGGTGCCATCCATTTCCCCAAAATCCTTCTGGATTAAAAAGTGACCAAAATAACCCTATCTTCGAGGGAAAAATTGTAAATTTCCAATTCATTAAATTAAATGAATTTATGAAGATTAATTAATTGATTAAAATTGGGTCGGGATGTTACAAGAGAAATCCATGATCATGAAAGAGACAACAGACACTCCAATGAAAATGCATATTTTTCTTTTCTTTCTAGTTTAGAAGAATGGTAATGACGAAAAGTTATTAAATTTCCCAAACTAGATAATGCAGAGCCATTTGTCAGTTTATTGTACAATTTATCAACTCTTTCTAGAATGAGTATCTATAGCTGGTTCTCAATGGAAATCTTTCATATTTTCTTATTTCTTTGCAGTCCGGAAAAAGGTACTTGTTCCAATGAAGAAAGCGTAACAGCATGATCAAAGCATTTGGGATTACTCGTATCGGATTTGAACATAATCTCCAGTAAATTGCCACAAAAGTAATTAAGTTCGCTCCAAATTCCAATGGCAATGTGCACACGAAGAACATCTACATCTTCCGCAACACCTCTTGGAAATATGTTCTCAGTTTTAGAGGTGATGACACTCGGAAGGGCTTTACAGACCACTTATATGAAACATTGGCAGCTCAAGGAATCGTAACTTTCAGAGATGGCCCTAAACTTGAGAAGGGAAAAGCTATTTCTCGAGAATTGTTGACTGCGATTGAAGGATCAAGGTTTGTGCACATTGTCCTCTCACAAAATTATGCATCCTCTACAACATGGTGCTTGAATGAACTTCTACACCTTCTTAAATTCATGGCAGCAAGAGAAGCAGTGCTACCAATTTTCTATGATGTTGATCCATCTCATGTCCGAAAACAAACGGGGAGTTCTAGTTCAAATGATAAAACGAAGGTGCAAGAGTGGAGATCTGCGTTGGCGAAAATGGCAGATTTCTCTAGGTGGAATGCTAAGAACTGGTATACATTAACTTCTATTATTTTCCCTTGGAAAGTTCGTAATTTTTTAGGGTTTGTTTATATATAGAATGTGCATGATGTTATATATGCATGAGTAGTTAATAAGCGTGTATCTCTTATGAACCCTTAATAAAAATATAATTTATAGGGTAACTAAAAATCCCTATGATTCATCTATGCATATAGGACTACGAAATTAAAAAATGGTTACGATTAATTCTGTACCAAAAGAAAAGTTTAGGATTAATTAAACTGTATGGCCAAGATTAAATCCGAGGACAATCGTTTAATTAGTTTAAGTGTCAGATCCTATATTATAAAAACATATCTAAACTTTGATTCTTTATGTCCACACAATTAAAATGACTGATACAATTTCTAATATGTTGTAGGTTCCAAACCATGCTCACCAAAGATATTATCAATGTGTGGAAAAGATTACGCCCTTCATCGTTTACTTCTGTGGAGAACTCAGTTGGATTAGACTCCAGTGTAAAATCAATCGATTTATTGTTAGGTGCAGGGGTGGATGATGTACATGAAGGATCCACAGTGATAAGAAGGTTCCTTAATTTGTGACAAAAAGGTTCTTCTCATTCTCGATGATGTGTGGATTCCTCCATAACCCCAAATTCCATAATTTCATCGCTTTCTTAGTCTTCCCCTCTTGTCCATATTTGTACGCAATGCATCCAATTCTTTTTCACTTTGTCCATTGCGTCAAGCTCTCCTTCACTTTTCGTTGCCTTGGCATAGGGGCTTGTTTTTTGTTTTTTGTTTTTTGTTTTGGCTTTTGGGGATGAGATACTTCTATATATATAACAAGCAAACTTCGTATGTAATTAAGCTTTGGATAAGATGCTTCTAGGAAATTCGGGTTTGCTTGGAATTACCGTCTCTTGAAGCAATGCTGGTTTGTTATCTTTTCCCTTGTCTATTTATAGCGTACGAAAACTCATAGTGGCTCTTCCATTTGATTCTCTGCTTATGCATTGCTTTCATATTTCTCATAATTCAATTGTTTGTATTGCCTTCTCCTTGATTGCCTCATCCTCTTGATTTTTCATTCAACGTTACATTTCTCATAACAGTTGGTGGAGAAACTTACAGGGATAGTAGAGGTACGGCCATCTTGTAAACTTTCTGTCTTTGCACTATATGGTTGTTGGTTTTACTCTGATCCATTGAAAAAAACACACACACACAAATTAGATAATTTGATATATGTATATTGATGAGCACATAAACAATCACATTTATTATCCCTAAATATATTTGTTAGTAATTGATTTTCTTACAATTTTAGTTAATTAGGTTTGTTTTTCACTTTTGCACTTGCTTACATACCCATTACATAATTGATGATGATTTCATAATTTTATCTTAAGGTTGAAGAAGATTATTGGATGCTAGTAGGCAAATGGTGGCAAGATTTATTAAAAAGATTGCAAGATGCACCACCTTGCCAAAGAGAAGAGAAATGCATGTAAGTGCATGATCAAGTGTTCAAGTGGAAGACATATTCAATTCATGCATGGAGTGGATGAAGCAACAAACATGATGGTGGCTTGAAGATGTGGAATCATGAACTATTAAAATTGTGAGTTAAGCAAATGAAATGAAGGATGATGAGAAGAGGTGCAACACTTAACCAAAAGAAAAGATTGAATAACAAAAGCAAGTAGAAGTGGAGCAACAATTGAAGAAAAGAAGAAACAATGAAGAGATGGGTTACGGTTGTGCATTGAATAAGATGAAGAATTTGGAGAATGGAGTCATCAACACTATGGAATAAGTAATGGAAGCAAATTGGCAATTGGCTTGATGGCAAGTGGAATACATATTAAATTCATGAATGGAGGGATTTAATGAATTTAGAATTGCTCCCATTTTCCTATAAATAGGAGGAGCTATGGCATTGTAAAAATACACCAAGCTCCACAACTCTTGAGCTTTCTCTCTTCCCTCCATCTTTCTAAGTTTTAATTTCTGTTTTTAGTTTAATTTTATTATGGGGAACTAACTCCCTAGCTAAGGCTAGGGGGAAAGCTTTTAATATGAGTGTGTAATTGTTATTAGTTTGATCCAAACTTAAGCTTTAATGTGAATTTGTAGTTTTTGTTCAAATGGAATTTGTAGTTTTCTTTTTAATTAATTGATGAATGTTTGATAATCTATTTCATGGGTTCAATCATGTTTTTCCCATTGTGTAGTAAAAACTTTCATGCTTTTAAAAGAGAAGAGAATTACTAAAGATTAATAGAATTTCGATGAAGTTTATTTTTTGATAGTTTGTTGCCAATGGTACAAGTTATGCTTAGAATACTTCTAAAGGAAATTAAAAAGAGCTTTAATTATTTTGAACAACTACAAAGGAAAATATTTTGTGGATCAAATTATTAAGAGTTGCATGCTTATGTTAAAAGTGGAAACCCAATGCCTTAGTGTTTTAATCAATTAAATTTTCCCCAAATCAAATCTTGCATAATTCTACCTCTCAATCACACTTGTTCTTTTTCATCTCTGTTATTTTCTTTACACTGCTCTCTGTCCCATTTCCACAAGCACTTAAGGCAGTTAAGAAAGACTTAAATCCTGAAATTTTGGAGGTTTTTAAACAAGTGAAAATCAATATCCCTCTTTTGGATACTGTCAAACAAATTCCTTCATATGCAAAATTTTTAAAGGATTTATGCACTGTAAAAAGAAAGCACAATGTTCAAAAGACCACATTTTTAACTTAAAATGTAAGTGCAATTATTCAAACTAATACTCCACCCAAGTATAAAGATCCAGGTTGTTCCACAATTTCATGTGTTATTGGGAATTTTTATGTTGAGCATGCTTTATTAGATTTGGGTGCTAGTGTAAATTTGATGCCTTACTCGGTTTATAAGCAATTGGGTCTTGGTGAATTAAAACCCACCTCTGTAAAATTGCAATTGGCTGATCGTTCAGTAAAAATTCCAAGAGGTATGGTGGAAGATGTGCTGGTTCAGGTAGACAAATTCTATTTTCCTGTTGATTTTATAGTTTTGGATACTCAACCAGTTGCGTATTCTAGTTCTCAAATTCCTATTATTCTTGGAAGACCTTTCCTTGCTACAGCTAATGCTCATATTAACTGCAGGAATGGACTTATGCAACTATCATTTGGGAACATGACATTGGAGCTCAACATATTCAACATACGCAAACAGCCTGAAAGCGAAGAAAATTACGAAGAAGTTGACATGATTGATACAATTGTTCAAGATTGTTTTGATTCTTCTTGTTTTTCTGATTCTTTGCAAACTTGTTTGGTCAATGAAGATTATGATTTTGCACAAAACTCTGAAGTAAATTATAATTTTTCTTTGTTGGATTCTGCACAGGTACAAGAAGAAAACGGGTGGATACCAGAATTTGAAGGTGGATAAGAACTTAAAGATGCGTCGGGAACACCTGGTGCAAAAATTCCAAATGTTCTTTTAATTTCCTGCACAAAATTTTATTTATTTATTTATTTATTTTTAGTGGTTTTAATTAAAAGATTGTTTGGTTTGTTTATTTCAACTTCTATTGCTAGTATAACTTTTATTGTTAGTAGAATTTTATTTATTTATTTATTTTATTTTATTTTATTTCCCTTTCAACTTTTCTTTATGACATTGTTTGATCTTAAATCTCCATTATTCATAAACAGTGTTTCATATAAGAAATTTGATTCATGATTGCTCAATTAGAAATTTTGGCTCAAATGCTTATTTTATTCCATGCCATGTGATTACAAACACAATTTTGAACATGCGTACGTAGAATTCTGAATCACATGATTCTTTTTTGCATTCTGAGCCACTTGAGGCATCCTGCTAATTGTCTATATTTGCTCGCACTTGTAGAATCTGCAGCAGCTCTACATGCTCCTCATTTTTCCTCTGCAGTGTTTCCACATGCTGATTGGCACAGTAGAGCCGCTTCTGCAAGTCCGCCACCATAGCCTTCAAGGAAGCTACTTCCTCACTCAGGGCTGCACACTCCCGCGTCCTCGCCAGTAAACGCATGCCCAAATTGGTAGCCGAGACCGCGTGGAGCACAGTCAAATTGTGGGACTCCTCCACTGCAGC